CACGGAGAGTGAAATGAGTTGCCCAAGTTCTGTCAGCTGGTTTCCAGCTTGTAATCCAGTCCCTGAGCAATGAATCACACTGCCTACCAAAGGCCAATTTGTGAAGGAATGAGCTCCTACTGGGAAGCAACAGGCTAGTACATGCCTATTGACTTCCCTGCCAGATCCTCCGTGTCTTGGCTCAATGCTGTGCTTTACTGCTCAGCACATCGTCCAAAAATGTTCACAGCATAGCTCAGAGGTAGCAACAGACTTGGAAAAAGCCACAGATGACCCTTTTCTCTGTGTGTGTGTGTATTCTGGATGCATGCATAAAACTCCTCAGGATGGCAGAATATTATTACAAACAGTTACAACTACGTTTGATTAATGTCTTGTCTCAAAATCCACTTTGAAAAAAAGCCTCAGGTATTAAAATGATAGACATGTAGTGCTAATCAAAATGATGCATATTTTTAGGATGCAAGAACTCTGGGCTAACAGTGCTTAGTCTAGAACTGCTTGCTTTTTCTTGTAATCAAAGATACGCATTTTAGTTCTGCAATCTTAGCATCCAACTTCCTGAACACATTGGGCTCCTATTGGAGTTGCTCAGACATGGTCAGATATTATTGAAGATCAGGTGGCTTCTTCTTTTGAATTGAGAAAATATGGAGATACTGTAACTTCCAAGTTCTGTGTATTTTGAGCTCTTGTGATGCATAGGAGAGATTCCTTTTGAAAGATTTATTCTTGTTAAGTTTGTTTTCTTTTCCATTATAATCCTTCATTGCATATACTACTGTTGTTTTTTGCTTTGGTGAAAACATCAAAAATGTGTTTATGCCAAATGCTCTCAAATTACAAATCCTGTGTTCTGTGGACTGTACGATGTGCTGCTCTGTTGTCATTTACTTTTGTCCCCTGAAAATTTTATTTCAAAATAGCCAGAAAGAAACAGATGACAGCCTAACAAAAGGTCCACACTGTACTGTACTGTGTCCCCTCCTCCCTCCCTGAGCCCCTTGTTCTAGCAAAACTCCTTTGCTTTCTTCTTTGATTTGCATCAATCTACCTTCAGAATTTTTCAAACATTGCAGTGCATTAAACACTACAGCAGATGGTGCTTTTTGACGATGCCTTTCTACATGAAGCAACATTTTGTAGTGTATGCTGCATTATCAAAAAATCAAACATGTAATTATGCAAATATGTATGCCTTTATAATAATCAAGTTTTATTGTAAATGGTTGATGCACATCAATTTGATCCTGTAGTGCTGCTTTAAGTGCAGTTTAAGTGGCTTTTCAGTGTACCCAGAGGCAACACAAATGCATCTCTGGAATATTAATAAAATTCTGAATCTTTGAGACACCAACTGGTACAGCATTGCTTATACTGATTGAAACTAAATGCTAATCCTTTCCTTTATTTTAAAAAAAGTCCCCTTTGTTATTTAAAACACTGATATTAGTGTGATATAAAGGGCCATTTTATTTTAAATTGTATTGTAATGTAGTTGTTAAAATAATGTCTAATCATACTATATTCAGATTCTACAATGTAAATTTGATGAGACCAGAATCCAATCATTTTACAGCCATGAAAACAGAGACGTATGTTAATATGTCCAGTTGTTCTGATTCTGTAAATTTATTAAGGAAATATCTGGTTTTAGGTTTTAATTCTGAAGGCTTCCAAGTAACTGATTCCTGAATGCTCACTCAGAGATGGTTTTACTTGTGAAATATAATAAGCTAGATACTTGCAGGAAAAAAAAATCAGCAAGGATTTTGACATCTATAATGAAGTGTCAACTTTATTACTGATCTGGTCCTGCCTTTATACATTGGTTAACTTGGTTGGTCTAATGACAGCCATCTCTCTGAATGCACACATACACATTCTGCTGTGTTTGAAACAGCAGACAGGCTGTGGGTATAGATAAACCAAGACTGTAAATTATGTTTTGCCTGTTTATTCCTGCTGTTCTGAAAGCAGGGCACGAAAGGAGCAGATTTCATTGTTCACAGGGAGAAGGCAGTAGCTATACCATGTCCCCCTTACAGTTCCAATAGGTTGGATGTTTATTTTTTGGGTTTGCTATAAACAGAGGCTTGGTTAACCTGAAGGCAGATTGAGAAGGCAAACAAATGAATATGCTTCCATCTTTGTGCTTCCTGGACTTTGCTCAAAACTAATTTCCTGTAAACTTAATGAAGCTTTATAGGTTGAGCTTTCACTCTGTAAAATTTTTGCCTTCCTTTTGGATCCCTCTTTCCAATTTACCTCCCTCACCATCTCTCTGCTCTGCTATTTTTGTTTTATGCAGTTGGATATTGTCTCTCTGCCCTTTGTCCTTCCTCTACCTCTTTTAATTTTATTTTTTGGTTCCTTTCTGTGCTTGTTTGTTACCCCTCTTCCCTTTTTCCCCTCACAGATTTTAACTCCTCTGTCAGCCTTCTGCTCCTCAGGTTTTTTCCCAAATGTTTCTCTCAGTTTCTCCATTTGGTTCCCTAGCCCTTCCACAAATGTGTATTTCCTAGCTCCCATTCTGCTTTCCACATTCCCCTTCCAGGTTTTACTGTCTGATTTCTGTGTTTATCTTTTTTTATTTTGTCCCTGCTTTTCTCAATTCAGATTGGTTCAAAATATTGCAGGGAAAGCTGCTCTTGAGAAATTTCATCCAGATTGCTCGAAGAGCAGCTGCTGCTCTGGCACTTCCAGCACTGAATCAAACCTGAGCCCAGGGGATAGGAGGTCCTTAAAGGATCAAAGTGCAGCTTCAGAATCCTACCCAAAATATTGGCAAGCAGAACATGAATATAAGCCCACAGCCAAGAGTAGCTGAAACCTCTTCCCACAGTTTTGACGAGATCTGGTATTTTAAGGGTGGTGCTTGGTTTTCGTTTGTTTTTTTTCTTCTTCTGAAATAAGTATTTTTTTCCTCTCCTTATTTAGCATTCTTGAGACTCCAAAGCAGGGAAGAGACATCATGCATCTTGAGAAGGCCCTAGGGCCCCTAAAATTTTCAGTACATTTTTGCTGCTTTGCTTAATACATCAACTCATTTAAATACTAAGTTTTGAAAAGCTATCACAAGAAAATTCTGAGTCAATAAACTTTCTGCTCTTACTGAGACTGCAGGTTACTTAAAGTAATCAGAGATGCTGAGAAACAACTGGAAGATTTTTCTGAACTGAAAAAAGCTCTTCAGGAACTTCAAATTAATAGAAACATTTCCATAAAATTATTAAATAGAAATATATAAAGAAAAAAAATTCTTAAATGGCTCCTGCCTTCAGGATTTGTGAATAAATTCTTATGTATGCAAATGTGAAAGTAAAGTTTATTAGCGACAAAATTTAAATTGCTGACTTCCCATTTTTTCAACTGTGAACACTGAACTTGGTTTCTTTTTAATACTATATTTTGTCTCATTATCTTTTATGGTAAAGTTACTTGCTTTTTAAAAAGTACCCCTTTAAATATAAATTCTGTATGTCAGTGTATGTAGCACTGAAATAGAGAAGCTACCTGAGTTAAATTATTTGATTATTCACAGAAGAAGCCGCCCAGATTCCTGAAGTTCAATGGGCAAATGGTTTTTATCAGTTTCATAAATCTGTTTGTATATGAAAAATCTATAAGTACTATTGCCTTTTGATTGCATTTAGTATTCAGAAACCAAATGATACCCTGTCTGCTTCTGATTTTTATTTCAGTTGCATGGCATTTCAAGCTTAATTTAAACAATAATAACAAAGTCTATGTCTAATGTGTTGATTTCATTTGTAAAGCCACCTAGACAGCCACACACTTTGGTCGGTTTTTTTCTTACTAGTTATATGTCAGGAATGCTTAGACATACTTTACCTGCATTGTATGTTGACCAAAGCCTTGAATAAAAGATTATAGTATTTGGATGTGTTTTTGAACAAAAAAAAAATACAAAAAAATTGCAGGAAATCTGAAAAAAATATTCTTAATAGGGTAAAGCTTGATATATAGACTTTTAAAAGTATGAAATGATAGGCAATGTTCTGTCTTCAAAGAAAAAACATTGAAACTCATGGTCAATTAATACAGTGTTTCATAAGATGTTTGTCTTTTCAGGCTGCAGCAGTCATGTAACAGTGAATAAACCGTGAATAAAACACAGCTCAGTAATTGCCTGGTGTTTTGTTCTATATATGCAAACATCTGATTATTGGTGTGGTTATAGCAATCTGGTAGAAATCCCCATGCAAGCACAGAAACTTGGTCCAGGCACAAGGGATTTCACTTCTAGCTTATATGCAATGCAGTATAGGCTGTCCATATCTCTTCATTTACTTTATCCTCTATTCTGACTACCCTGGTGGTGTGGATTAGCCTGCAATTAAATCTTAGTTAAAGATCTTGAAAAGAGTGTGAACAAAGTTTTAATGTGCTTTGGCAGAGCCACACCCCATAAAAGGCTTCAGCTTAGCAGCCACCTCAATGCTTTGCTCAGTGGAAAAGCAGCTCATCACTTTGCAGTGAGGGGATCTGGTACCTCTGCAGCAAATACTCCCCAATGCTTCAGTTGCTGAACTCCTCACAAGACCTTCAAATGACCACCCATTCTCATAATAATTTCTTCTGATCGGTTGAAGTGCTTTGACCATTTATGAATCTGTTTACTCTTTTGAGGATAATTTATGTGAATTCAAACCCTAAGATGTGTCAGTGCAGATGTTTTTTAGAGAAGGTGGCTGCCTTAATGGCTGCACTGAAAATAAATATATTATTATAATACTCTTTAGAGGAGAAAAGGTAAAGAGTGACACTGTTTATGTTTTTTTTTAATGATCCTACTAAATCCCGCTCTTTGCCATTTCACTCTTCTTTTAAATTTCTTCACAGAGAAATTTAAGTGTTAAATTTAGCAGAGAATAAAATCAAGAAAAAAATTATTTTTCCATGGAGAAACTGAAGTGGAGGAATATATTATTTTGTACTGATTAATTTTATTCTAATTTTTTATATATTGCTTACAGGTGCAGTGAAAAGTATTTTTGTCAGTAAAACACTCTCCAGGGAATCATGGATAAAACCACATTTTCCAACCAGCTTCTGGCAGGGGAAGCCCAGGTGACCTCCTTGCAGCACAGTGTAAAGGTTTGGAGCCCTGGTGTTGTCCCAGATGTGGAAGCTGTCCCTGCAAGGCAGACACGGGCTGAGCTCACGTCTCTTCTCAGTCACAGAGGCTCCAGCTTGGCTCAGCCGCCTGCAGCCTGGGCAGAAGCATTTCTCCTTTTCCAAGGCTTCAGAAGAGTCAGCAGCCATCAGATGGTGTGACAAAGGTGATGGCACTCTGGATTGGAAAAAAGGCACAAAAAAAACCTTTTGTGAATATTTACATTATGTTGTTGGACTTTTCCCTCCTTTCCACATGAAGAGGTAATAGAGGACTGTGTCTTTTTTTGGATTTATGGGAGCAGCTCCACACACCTCAGCTTATAAGGAAAAGAGTAAATAAAAGTTATAGGAACTAGTGAAATAGTCCTGAAATAACATCTGCTCCAGGCTGTGTTCAAGAATAGGTGGGCTTGGTAGGATATTAATTCTGCAATTTCCTTGTACGAGTAAACTTTTGAGACCTATGAAGTTCTGCTGTGAGTGCCCTGAAACTTGCCATGACGTGCTGCCCACGTGAAGAAAACTAGCAGCTGTTCTTCTTTAACTGTGATTAGGATAATGTTTATTGAGAATTGTTTAATTAAATAGTATTTCTAAAGAAGATCCTTGAAACCCACCCCAACTTTCCCCCAAGCATATCCACGAAATGCCAGCTGCCTGGTAGCCTGTGCTTGGCTAGTGGTGTAACACAGGCCTGGTCACTCCATTGACAGATGGACGTCTCTGCAGTGGGGAGCCTGGCTGGGAGGGACGGGTCTATCTCACTTTTGGTGGAAAGCATCAAAAATCTGACTTCTCAATATATCTCTGAAAGTACTGAAATTTCTTATTGAACGGAATTCGTGTTTTCAGACTAGTTCTGTGTTTTAAGTCTGTATTTTTTTCTGAACCTAAAATTGAGATAAAATTTCTAAGCTTGTTTGTTGCTATGTTCTTAAAAAAATACGGGTTGAATTTCAGGGACATTTCCACTGCTACTTTGTTCAAGAAGGATTTATGCTCCTGAGAAGTCATCTTAAATGAATTCTTTGGCAGACTCTCACGTTGCATCTTTGGGTTTTAACTTTGAGATTGGCAGAAGAGGGTTTTTTGTCCTGTTTCCAAGTGAGATGAGACCTGTGTGTCTGAGCTGCTTTTCTTTGCTCCTCTTTTTCAGTGCCTTCCGTCAAATAATTGCTGAACCAGTTGATCAATTTCAATCAAGTGGGACAGAAGGAGAGAGCTGTGAGACATGAAGTTTCAGAAGAAAACAGGTTCTTTGGTATGTCCAAGGGTCCTGGAAGTGTGCTTTTCCCAGGGAAAGTGATCAGAGCGCCAGGAGCTGGCTCCCCAGTCATCCCCTGGACTTTGCAGCAGCCCAGCAGAGGCTGCTGCCTGCCCCAGTGGAGGGGCTCATGAGAGATCCTTTGGGAACTGGCACCTGAAGGGCATGGGAAGCCCCTCTGCCACCGGTGGCACAGTGAGGTCTCTGTCAGGGGATTTACAGTGAGATATTGCTTAGGAACAAGTTGTTATCTTGTGCTTGGTCTCTGCCATGTAATATACTTTATATGAGGCCCAAAGAACACACCTATCTTGGGGCGGCTAGGTTAGCCAGAACTGACAGTTAGATGTTAAATAATTAAATTGTTTTAGCTATTAATTGTAAATGAATGTTGTTTTTAATTGCACTTTAATAATGCCGTGCCCTTTATAACCAAAATTAATGTTTTCTGTCTCTCTGTTTTTGAAGTACATGTCAGTTTAATTAAACTATTAATGGTAGACAGATTTTAAGTACTTTATATTCTTCATTAAATTGTATCTGCTCAACAAGCATAAACAGGAAAATAGACTCAGAAGCAGATTCATGTTCTGCCTGGTAAATCATTCATCATCAGATAAGATGATGAGGCACGCTTGTTTTTCTGTAGGCTTACAATGATAAACAAATACACTTTTGTATTGTAATATTTATTGAGTTCATAGAAAAATAAACAAGACTGTTCACTTTTCATATCAGCAACAGGCCTAAAAGCTGCTGTTTGCATTTATGACTGGTCAGTCAAGCAATATCTTGATGCTCTGAGGGTCAGTCTTAGTTCATTTTGTCTAAAGTGCTTGTTAACAGAGCATTTTTCTGGCCTAAGAGATAGTTCTTTCAGGGCCATTCAACTGCAGTAGCGATGAATATTTCTACTGTTCCTGCTGTGTCACCCAATTGTGTGCGGAAAGAATTAAAATAGATTTTGATTTGGCAGAAATTATATATTTATAATGCAAATGTTGAATAAGTCTCAATCCTTGTATGACTGCAGGAAGGTTGATGGAAACAGTTTTTTGAAGATTGTGAAAGACAAATTATGGCAAGGTCATTTCATCTCTATTGGTAAATCTGCAAATCCTAGTGGGCTGTTAATGGGGTAACAGGCAGAAATTAAGAAACACTACAGCAACTGCTTCTGACAAATTCCTGTGCATATTATACAGGCAGACAAAGATGTAACTGGTTATAATAGAGACAACAAACGTCCTTCCTTTGTGTGGCAGATCAATCAATAGCCAGGCATGTGATCTTGTTCACTATTATGTTAGTAATGAAACCTTCTTGTGATGTGACAACTGTGGAATAACATTTGGTCACAAAGCTGGTGTTAACAAGCACAACTGGCACTCTGGTAATTAGACTGATTCCTGGTCTACTTTCACAGATTGTCGATAAATGCAGTAAACAACAGGCTGCTTTCTCTCAGAAGAAGTTATATGAAGTTGTCATCCATTTGATGGTATGTACTCTATTCTCCTTCATCTTCTATCAGTTTTTGCCAAGGTGAGGATGTGCATATATTTCACTATAAAATAATGTTTCACAATAGAAATTTTGTGGGCATTGTTAAACAATCGCCTACTTAACGTCAACCTTTTTTTTCTCTAAGGACGAAAGATGATTTCTCAGTTAAAGGTAGGCAGTTAGATGGAGATGTTCTTCCTCAAATTTTGAATGTTCTTCCCTCTGATACAGCTGTGTCTGCTGTGGACAGCCATTTATATTGTTTAAGGATAACTGAAATCTTAAAATCCATAGATTACCCTTGATTTAAAGGCCAAGAATATAGATCATATACAATTGTAATATAATTTTTTACATTAAACAAAATAACTACATCCAGCCATGGATGTGCTAGCAAACTTTTCCATCACCAGTTTAGGGCTGTTATGTCAAAACTCATTTGCTGTTTTGCTCTTTCCACAGACCTGCATTAGTGGAAATCTGAACTGTAGTTTGGTGTTTCCACCCTCATGGCAGAGTAAGAAGGAATGAGAGCTCCTTCCCTAGGCCCTGTACCTCCTCCAAGCCCACAGCCTGGCTCTGCACATAGGAAAATGTGTGAATGCTGTAACTCTGTCTCCTCCACTTGAAAGCAGAAGAATTTAATCAACTGAGGTATGTCTGGGGAGCTTTTCAGTTTATTTTGCATTGGCTAAGTGGCAAAGCTTAAGCTGGAGGCACTGTAAACCAGCAAGGGTTTCTATGCTTGCTCTTCTTTCATAAGGTGCATTCAGAAACTGTCAACAGTGCATAGGGGATGACGAGTAGTGGCAATGCCATGGCATGTCTGGGCACTGGTGCTATATGGTACTTTGCTCATATTTGCTAAGTCCAGCTCCATCCGGAGTTCAGCATCCTTACTGGTTTGATTTGACTAAGAAGGGTTTCTTGTACTGGGCCATGTTTTGACCACTTGCTGCAACTAAATTCACTCTAAAAGATCAAGAGAATAGTGAACATCTCTTCATGGCCATTATCAGTTGTTGCCAGATTGTAATTCCCTTTGTAATCGATGAAAAGCAGTGGGAAGGAGTGCTTTACAGTAGGTATCTAGTTTTATGCAGGTTTAATGCAGGAAGATGCCTCATTAGCAGTCAGTAAACATAAAAACTAAATTCACACTCATAAACTAGGGAGAGGTTTTGGACATGTTCACTGAGCCATGGGTATCAAGAAGTTAGAGGCTATAAATAGCAGTGAATGCAGTATGCTAATGTGAATGGTTGGAAATGAATATCAGAGGTGTTTGTTGCTGCTTCCTGCAGAGCAGTCTCTGTTCTGACAAACCACTGAGAAAGACCAGTGAGGCTCTCTAAGGCTTGTAGGTTTGTACCCTACAGGCTCCTAGGAAAGGATAACTGTGGAAAGTAACAAAGGAGTGTGTGGGGTTTTGTCTGATGGGTAAGAACAGTGTTTAGGGAGGGATTAGCAAGAGGCCTGTGGATGCACCAAAATGCCATGTGCTCAGAGAAGGGACAGAGTGAGAATATTTTTTGGCTGGCTGTAGATGGTGGTATGACTTTGAGTGAGACCACATGCCAAACAGAACCACAGAATGGGCAATGTTAGAAAGGACTGCAGTGGATTGTCTGGTCCAACCTCCCTGCTCAGACAGAATAATTGTAGAGCACACTTGTGCAGGATTTCGTTCAGATAGTTCCGGAATTTCTCCAGTAGGGGAGACTGGAAGGCAACCTGTTCCAGTGCTTGGTCACCCTCACAGTAAAGAAGTTCTTCGTATTTAGGTGGAACTTCCTGTACATCCGTATCTGCCCACTGCCTCTTGTTCTGTTGCTCAGCACCCCTGAGCAGAGCCTGGTCTATACTCTGACACCTCCCTTCAGACACAGATAAGATTCCCTCTCAGTTGTCTCTGTCAGGGAGCTGAACAGCCCCAGCTCCCTCAGTCTTTCCTCATGATATGCTCCAGTCCCTCCATCATTGTCAACCTCCGCCAGACCTGCTCCAGGAGCTCCATGTCTCTCTTGATCCATCGTTCTTTGCAACTAGGGGGACAGAAATGAACCAGCTTGTGCTCCAGATCCCTTGACCTGTTGACCTAAGACCCTGAGATCCCTCTTGATGGTTTGCAACCTTCTTGTTGGGACCTTGTCACTGCCTACCTGTAAAATCAGTAGAGTGCAACAATCAATGGGCCATAGCAGGCTGTGAAGTTTATGGGTGACGTCTCTTGTGTGGGGCCCAGGGAGGCAATGCAACTTCCTGTGGGTTGGGTCTGGTCAGTGATTGAGCCCTCCATTCCCCTCAAAAGGGAGTCACCAATGACTACTACATTTTTTTTCTTCATGGAGGGAGTTTTGATGCAGGGGGTAGGCAGCACCTCCATCTTGGAAGAACCTTCATCCATGTACACATTTCCCCAGTCCTCTTTTTGCTGGTTCTCAGATTCCAAGATCTCATTTTATAAGGGCACCTGGGAAGGTAAGTTGGAAGGGGAGTCATCCCCCCATCCCAAGCAGAAACCTATTTCCACTCCATACAGTCCCTCCTTGGTTGGGAAGGATCTACAGGAGAGCTAGGTCTGATCTCCTCCTGAAAAGAGGGTCAGCCTTGAGGCCAGACCAAATGTTTTGTCTGGTCTGCTCTAGTGAGCCTTCAAAAGTGGAGATGATGCAGCCTCCCTGGGACACAGCTTCACTGCTGTTTTCCTACCCAGAAATCACACTTAAAAATGTGTCTTTTCAATTGTTTCTCCAGTGTCAGCATGATTTTGTTTGGACTCAGTGCTTCCCAGAACTCCACATAGATTTCTATGGCCAAGCCTCACGTCTATTCATAAAACACTCAAATCTGCTGCTGATGCAGCACTGAGATTGCATTGACCTGTCAGTGGGAGTCCATAAGCAATGAATAATTTTTTTGCTGCTGGAAGTCAGAAAATAAAGCCTCAGCTTCTAGAAGAGACCAGGTTCAAGCACCACCAGCCGCAGTAGGTAACAAGAATGGTTGTGTCATTTAAAAAAGAGGCAGTTGGTCAAGAGCATGTTGAAAGCATCACACATTTGGAGAAAGAACCTCTGCACTTGGGAGGTAACTGAAGAAACAAGACAAGGAGATGTTTTGCCATTAATATCATTTAAGCTCTGCTGTTTTAAGAAGGTTTTACCATACAGATTACTTTGTAGAATGAAGACAATGCAGAGTGTTTCCAGCACATGGCTGGAAAATCTTTGCTATGGCTGCACTATTCAGACCTTGTCAATGCACTGCCTGTAGAAAAGGATTTTGTCAGGAAAAAGCAGTGTTCTCCCTTCTTAGGAGTATATTTCACATTCTAAAGTGATTTCTCAGGTAAGATTGAATAAATTCTAGTTTACTAGATTTGATTTCTAAAGAAATGTGAGGAATAGAGTACAGCTAAGTGACAGATGCCTTGGCATTTTGTGCTTATTTGCCATCAGTTACTTTCATATTAAATTGTTCCATTTACAAGCTAGTATAATTTTTTTCCTAAGCACCTACTGCTCCGTCTAGTTGTGGAAAATGAAGCTCAGTTGTTTATGACCTGTGCTGTACTTCATCACTAACCTTCACCAAATGTACAAGTTCTGGAACGAGAATAAAGCTTCACCAGTGGTAGCACAGCATGAAGCAAAGTATAATGCATATTACTGTGGTGCACCTGTGCTGGCTTTCCCTTGCTTCTTGGGATAAAAGTGCACTTTATTAGCAGGCAAATAGGTAAGGCTTAAGAGGCCAATCTTCTGTGCCTGGCATATGGAGCTCCCATTAACACTAGTGAGTAAAATGGATATAGTTTGACAAGAGAACAAGGACTTAAGGGAACAGATGAATGCAGAAACAAGATGACACTTTCATAGTCACTTTTCTGACCAAAACTGAATGTTTTGAGTGTCTAAATGTAAAGATTGTGTAATGTGTTTTTATTACTTAATAACTGTCAAAAACCAAGTGAGGAAACTAGGTCTAGTCTTTACCTTTGAGAGAACAAAGTGCCACCATCTCCCCAGACTGTGCTTAAGCCTGTCCTCAGTAAAACACCTCTCTGATACCTCTCCCACACTCATAACAGTTATCTTCTTGTTTTCATCTTCCCTGTGGAAATTATTAATTAAAAATTCTTTAAGAAGAAAGCTTTGTTGCTATCTAGATATCTCAGATTTTTTTTTTTTTTTTTTTGCATCTTTTGAAGGCTGCAGATGCATGAAAGAAGGTGGTGAGAGAAGGATGAAGATCACAGATTTTCTTCTGGTGAGTCACAGAGGCGTTGTGGCTCTGTGATCTCCAGCAGCCTTTTGTGTCACAGCCCATGTAGACCAAATCTGCTTTTGGGGTGGATGCTCTGTGATGGCTGGTGGGAAGAGATCAGCCTCTCCCTGAAATGACAAAGGTGGTGTTTCCCCAGTGTTTAATGTAGGCGAAGAATTCTCTGGATGTCCTTCACGTGTAAAATGTATCTGTCGTCCCAATTTCTCACAGAGTTAGATCCTGAATTTTTAACTACCTAGAAGAAATCAGAGATCAGCTGAAGAGGTTTCTGAATTAGGTTTGCTGGGAAGCCTCAGGTTTATTCTGGTTTTTCAGGATCCAGCAGTAACCAAGAACATTAATTCCCATTTCCAGGTGGCAAAGATTTTTTTTTCTTCTCTTTTCTTTCAGTCATGGGCTTCATTGCAATTACTTTTTTCTATCTTTCCAAAATCCAGTTACTGAAATGCTACTTTTTGGGTGCCCTTAGCCAACACCCTGAGTGTCCATTTGAAACAGCTAGACAGGTAAGAAGTATAACAGCTTTATGGTTGAGTGGCAAAACTGAATCCAATCCAGATGAACCTAAATTGGGTATTTTAATAAGTCTTTTACAAATTAGAAAAAAAAAAAAAGTTTAAATATTTATTTCTTTCCTAGGTTTTATTAGTAGTTTTCTTTTTTCAATCATAACACATTTTCATTTCCTAGTGGTAAAGCTATTTTTAGAAAAAAAACTTACTTTGGAATCTCATTTTTAATACAGTAAAAATTGTTTCAACATTTAAAAAAAGGAGAAAAAAAATGAAAGCACGTTCTCCCTTGTCAGGGAGCTCTCTCTGTTCTGTACTGAGCCCAGAGGCCGGGGCTGCCCGCGGCGCTGCGTGCCTCGCTGTGCCGGTGGAGACACTGCCCGGACATGGGCCGTGCCAGACACTGCCAGAGCCTGCCACTGTCCTGCTGGGCTCCACAGACTGCCCCAGCTGAGCTCTCATATTTACCAGGCTCACCTCAATGCGCTGCAATTGTATCTGCAATCTGCAGGATTGGATGCTGTGATGCAGTCTAGGCAGGCCATGATTAAAGAAGGCAACCCAACCTTCCTGCTGCCCAGCCAAGTTTCATGAACTTCTTGGCAAATTCAAAACCTGGTTATTTTTTTAGTATGTCTGCTGGGGAGATAGCTTCCTGACACATTTGAGATATTTTGTCACTTGGAAACATTGAGCCAATTTAGTTAACGTTTTAATTTTTGTTGGATTTATAATTGTAGTCATGTGTCAAGAGGTCAGTTTAGACAGCTCGGTAAGCTGGAAAAGCCAGCAACAAATTGAATCAAGTGAATATCCTTTCATTTCAACGTCTTTTTCTCTCCTTGTTTCAAG